GAATGGACAGCCCTGGAAAGTCAGATGCAAGGCATAATGATGATGGATGAGTGTTTCAGACTGGCCACATTGAAGTTAGAAAACCCAGTGCTAGATCTCTAAATATGAAATAGTGTGATGAAGCCCATAATATTAATAACATTCCTAACAGTTCAATAATTCTTTTGGGGAGAGATATTTTCAAGAACCTTTTGAGGGCTACTAAATAAAAGTTCAGGGTTCCCAGTGCAGTGCTTTGATGCTTAGCATGGTTGATGGCTAGATTGACAAGTGTGCCAATATATATCTAGGCAACGGAGCCATGGGCTGCAAGCACACCTTCAAAAAGGCCATTACTGCAGTTTAGCATGACAAGAAAATGTCACAGTGAGCCTTGCACTCATGAGATAAGATCAGAAACTTTCTCCTAAGTTTCAGTTAACCGTGGTTTGGCATGTCCTCCAAACCCAGAGCTGAGTTCACCTGAGTTATTTTTAGCCAGAGTTTACTGACACAAGCCAACTTTGTAAACTACAGACTAAGGGCCACTTTTTAAGATTATGCTGACAGCGTGGGAGCTATTGCAATGTGGTTCCTTCTTGCAGCACATGATAAAGTGAGTGGGGAACTGGATTCAACCAAATCCTGAACTGAATTTGGCTGATTTGGACTAATTTGTATCCTGTCCACATCAGGTTGAAGCACCTACAAATCACCACCACCCATGACCAGATTATATTTGAAATAATGCTGCAGGATTTTACAAAGATGAGGGGTTTTTAACAAAAAAAAAAGCATCAAAAACATATTTAGAAAAGATCTCCTCCAAATACATAATCTAGTTTTTGACCCTGTCTACATCAGTAATGTGTAGTACAGCAGCTGGTGTGCTATAAATGGAGCTGCTGTCTAAGGCATATGGTACAGCTCTTTTAAAATCTGAGGAGTCTTGATGACACAAATAAATTGCTTTCCAATTCACAGCCCCTTTCTCTTTATAAATAGTCTTCACTTCTCACTTAATAATGGACTGTTTTGGCTTAAAACATAATGATTAGGCTGAGCGAATCTCCTTCCTTTGATCAATCTTTCCCCAACAGGTTTGACTCTGGGAGTATTTCCTTTCAAATAACAGATTTGCTAGTGCACTGGTTGTGTGTGTGTGTGTGTGTGTGTGTGTGTGTGTGTGTGTGTGTGTATCCCTGCCTGGGAATATATTGAAGTCTTTGCAGATCCACCACCCTACAAGCTTTGCTATCTACTCCCAAACTTTGCTTCCTCTTTACTTCCTCTACAGTTTCAGTATAGAAATTTAGTTCCCCAGGAACACTATAGCAGCCATTGGAAAAAATACACAGTGCACCAGCACCAGGTCCTGCCCTGAGAGAACTCTCTGACCATGAGCAGATTGCTGCAGCTATAGCTGTTGACCTGTTCATCAATGTGGGAAAGCAGGAAGGGTGGCTGGGATAGAGGGGCTGTCTGAATGGGTAGAACGTAGGAGGTAGATAAGCCAGAAGTTCTTCAAGCTCATACCTTAATTCCTCCTCATGCATCTCTCTTTTTGAGATGAGCATTACAAGCTCTCCTAGGTTATGTTTAGGACCAAGCTTTGTAGTGACCCACCCAGGGTGGAATGGAACAAAGCAAAGGCATAGTAAAGTTACTTTGTCCCCAAAATGCTTTGGTTGTCCTCAGAGATGCGGTGAGTCAGCCTTCAGATACAGGTTCGTCCATGGCTGATGGGCCTGGCAAAGGGCATATTCATCTGTTATAGCAATAATAACAGAGAATATTACTTGAAAGTCTTTGAAAGGTGCCACAAGACTCTATGTTGTTTATTTCCTTCAAGAGACTATCACAGTTACCCATTTGGAAAGAATGTGACATCTCTAGAAAAACGTAATTGTAAGCTTTCGCAGACTGATTCTAACTTTGTCAGGCCCCCCACAATTTCACTGCTAATTTGCTCCCCCACCAGCAGCTTTTCAAAAATATGTAGTCTCAGATCTCCCACCAGGCAGATGCAGCTTAAAACAAAAAAATTTAAACATGTGTGAGAATAGGGAATGAAATCTGTAAAACAAAGTGGACGGTCCCTTCTGCCTCTAACACAATTCTGTTTGAAAATGCTGATATTATAGACCATCCAGCAATCATTCAATTCCCTCCCCCTCCTTTAAATGCCTTTTTTCCCAGTGACCAAGTATTTTATGAATAAGTGATGTCTCGCTAGTCAACATGATGAATGTCAGAACATGGAGGGAATAGTTAAAGAATTTGTTTTAACGGTTATGCATTTAAATTGTTCTATTAGAGTGGATGTTCCTGCCTTCGCTACCAATAAAAAACAGTTTCTGAAGCTTATTTTTTGGTCCTCTTAAAAGAGTAGCTTTTGTTATCTTGCAATATCCTGGATTAAAGAAGTTATTAATAGAATGATAAAGCAGTCCAAGCTGTTTCTCACATTTGTTCTTTTTCTTGGGTTTTTTATACCAAATTCTTTCATCTTAATGTTGAAAGGTCATCTTAAAGACATCAGGATTTGCTCTTAAAACTCTTTACTAACTAATGAGAAATAACAGAGCAATTCCACACACCCTTTAGTTCTGCTGGCTAAGCCAAGCTTCCACCAGCCGTCACCAGCCTAGTGACACATTGCACCCAAGTACGCTGCCTTGCCCCCACACGTCAGCACTCCCCATGGCGTTCCAGAGCAGGAAAGGAAACTAATGAGACACATTGCTCAAACTGAGATGGCAAGCTTGAAGTAGCACTTACACAGAGTCATTCAGACCCATGTTGGTTCATCAGATCCCTGAACTGGCTCAGCTCATGAAGCTTGTTCTATTGCCATTATATGACTGGTGCTGAAGCCATGACAGAATCATAGGAAGTTGCCTTATTGTGAATCAGGCCATTGGTCTGTCCAGCCCAGAATGGTTGACAGGGACTGGCAGCAGCTGTCCAGGGTTTCAGGCTGCATTCTCTCCCAGCCCTACTTGAAGATGCTACAGATTGAACCAGGGACCTTTTGCATGCATGCCACTGAGCTATGTCCCTCACCTCCTTAATCATCAAGCCAGTAGTTCCTAATAATAATAATAATAATAATAATAATAATTTATTATTTATACCCTGCCCATCTGGCTGGGTTTCCCCAGCCACTCTGGGTGGCTTCCAACTGAATATCAAAAACAAGACAGCATCAGACATTAAAAACTTCCCTAAACAGGGCTGCCTTCCGCTGTCTTTTAAAAGTAAAATAGTTGTTTATTGCCTTGACATCTGCTGGGAGGGCATTCCACAGGGCGGGTGCCACTACCGAGAAGGCCCTCTGCCTGGTTCCCTGTAATTTCGCAGCGAGGGAACCGCCAGAAGGCCCTTGGCGCTGGACCTCAGTGTCCAGGCTGGATGATGGGGGTAGAGACGCTCCTTCAGGTATACAGGACCAGGGCCATTTAGGGCTTTAAAGATCAGCACCAACACTTTGAATTGTGCTCGGAAACGTACTGGGAGCCAGTGAAGATCTTTCAGGACCGGTGTTATATGGTCTCGGCGGCCTTCAGTCTGGCAACATTTAAAACATACATAAAAAAATTTTTTATACCACTTCATACACTCGTGGCTTCCCCCAAAGAATTTTGGGAGCTGGTGAAGGGTTCTGGGAGTTGTTAGGAGACTCCAAGTCTCCTCTTCACAGGGAATTCTGGGAATTGTAGCTCTGTCAGAGGAATAGGGACCTCCTGACAACTCTCTCAGCCCTCCTAACAAACTACAGTTCCCAAAATCCTTTGGGAGCAGCCGTGGCTGTTTAAAGTGGTATCACAGTACTTTAAATGTATCGTGTGAATGCGGCCGCTGAGAGCTGTCCCAGTGGGGCAGGGGAGAAGAATACCAAGTTTAGTTCAAGTTGCCCAGTGCCTTATACCTACTTCACCCTGGTCCAAGTCCCCGGTTCTTTACACTGTGTAACAGATTTTGTGGTGATCATGGGAGCAAAGATATCTGGTGGGATCAAGGAGGAAGCATGCTTCTCCCTTGGCTCACTGAACTTGTGCTTCCGGTTCTGTGAGCCCAGGGGAGAGCACAATTCATCCTTGATAGTAAACAAGAGGCTTTGACAAGCTACTTTCACAAGGCTCATACATGACACACTACATCTAATTTGGAAACGTTCCTTTCAACAATGCATATTTCTCTTCATCTGAGAAAAATGTACATTTTTATATTTAGGTACTGCACATCTATATAGTTTTCCACTGGCGGAATAAACCATATGGTTTAATCTTGGCAGCTATCTACCTACGTCAGGTGCTCTGCTGAGCAAGGAAACCAAAGGATGGAATGTGTTTATTGCAAACAGTTATGCCTACAAAGCAAAAAGTCTACCACGTCTCCAACGGCAAAGCAGGGAATGAGAAATATATGTTGACTTGGGGAATATAATAGCGAAAAATTAAGGCAAGTGCATTGTGCAAGCAAACGTTTTTTCTTATAGTTCTCCTGTCTGTTCAGCTCTGCAGTAGTGTCGCCTGCAGACATGGAGATGCAAAAGCAAACTCTTGGGCACTCCATTGTGTCCTTGATGCCTTCCTGTTAAAAATGCTCTGGGAGGAACATGGGGAATATTTCAAATGACATTATCCGACTAACAAACAAACCGCAGGAGTTCATTATTTAATAACAATAAGTAATTGCATATTGCATATTCATCCTGCTTCCTCAGCTTTTTTAATAGATGCATTTGCTTAAATGTTTAATTTGCATGCTGTCTGTTGCAGAATGTATAATATATTTCCAGGGTGGGAGTTGTACTCTCATTACAAAAGAATGGACAAGCTTTCTTCAACATACAGCCCATTCAAATTAATGGCTACTACTTTGCAGTGACACAGTGCTGGAAAAGTTCCAAGCAGAATGTGTGCACTGAGTGCAATTGTTGGGTGCAGGTAGCAATCCTCTATAGACAGTCCTCTATTTGAAGGTGTCCTCTATTTGTAGAGTTCTTTACTAAACACTGAGATAGCTCAGTTGGTAGAGCATGAGACTGTTAATCTAAGGTTACCAGATTTTTTCCAATGAATCTGGGGACACTTTTCAACTTCCTACTAAATAGATGGCTTTTGTCAGGGGACTGATTTGTAAATCCGGGGACTGTCCCCAGGAAACGCGGACATCTAGTAACCTTATGTTAATCTCAAAGTCATGGGTTCAAGCCCCACACTGGGGGAAAAGATTCCTACATTGCAGGGGGTTGGACTGTTGTGATGTATGTAAGCCCCATAGGAAGCACTCAAGAGTCAAGCTTTACTTCAAGTAGGGCTTTATTCCAGTTGCAGTCTTGCATCATCATAAAGTAGTCTTACATTCAGGAATCAGTATACACAGGTGGAATTGCGTATAGGAGAGAAACCCGTGTGGGGAAGTCAACCATACCCTTTTATACTAGCTGGCTATAGACCAATTAGTCAACACCCTATGTCTCATGATGCTTACTCATCACATGCTGCTGAGTCAGCATTTCCACTTAGCACAGAGTGTTAATTCCTGGATACCCACAACACTCCAACATGGACTAGATCACCCTTGCGCTCCCTTCCAACTCTACGGTTCTCTGATTCTAAGCCTGGTTTAAAGATAAAGAACCTTTAGAAAGGAGAACAGGGGCCTTCAAGTTGCCCATCAACAGTTAGTACCTGTATAGTAGACTGAGCAGGCAACCAGGCCACCTGGACACAGTCTTCCTCACCATGGTGAGATATAATGTACTTCCACATAAATAATAGAAATTATTTCTAAATGTGCATCTATACATATAAACTGGCACATGCAAATTTTGTGCAAATCTCTGTCCTTTTCCAGTCCTTTTTTTGAATAATTTGTGGTCACCATGGGCACCTTAGTTTTGCTTGTCTCCCCCTCAGTCAATAGTTGCTCTTCTGTGAAATGGGTGTATTTCTACGCATCATATAGTTGCTACTTCACATCCAGTGTTCACTAGGTTACTATCTTATTGTCGAAATTGTCACACTCCATGAGTTGGAAGGCAACTGTCTGAAGCAGGGAGCCTCTTGCACTTATGAATGCTCCTCACATCTTTTAGAAATCAGATTTTTTTCCAGGATTCTAAAAAGCACAGGGAGCATTCAGAAGTTCAGATGGCTCCCTGCCTTATATATCTGTCCTCCTAACTTGTTGGTGGCAGAGTGAACAATGATCGGGCAGGGCTAGTGAACAGTCTCACATGTATAGTTTCGTTAACACTGGATGTGAACACCTGAAGAGGGTGAAAGAGTTGTGAGAATTTTAAAATTGTTTTGGAAAACACAAGAAGTGCCAACAGTGGAGGAATGGCAGATGAAGATGATGGACTTTTTGGAGCTAGCCGACCTGACCGGAAGAGTCCGCAACCAGAAGGAGGAGGAGTACCAGGAGGAATGGATGAAATTCAATGACTATTTACTTAAATATGCTAAGATAATTTAAATAGAAGTACTTGCAAATAACAGATAGGCTTAGGATTTAAATATGTCATGTTATGGGATAATATGTTTAAAGTAAAGATGAAAAGAAAGAAAGGTGTTAAGCGAGTAAGTAAATTTTATGAGAAACTTGTTTTGGAAAACTGTTACAATGATATATATTGAAATTCAGCCAGGGGGATATGAGGAAGTCACATAACAATGTTACTAAGAGTGGACTAAGTATAGTTAGGATTTATGTTTGTTTGTGTGTTTATAAAAATTGGAAAATCAATAAAGAAATTTGAAAAAAAGAGAATTTTAAAATTGTTTGTTGCAAAGTAATAGCAGCAATTTGTTGGGGGCTCTTTTTGAGGGGGATCAAGGGCTCCTAAGATACCAACTCCTTTCAGTCGCATCCCACCTTTTGACTCACTCGCTGATCTTCCCTTTATACGTTCTTGTGACCTCTATGAATCTATAGTGCCTGACCTACAGCTTTCTGAAAAAAAACATGCTTTAAATAAAAACCTTTGAATTTTTCATCACATTCAGCAGCCTGTATGATAATTTCTGATAATAGGCATGAAATATGACCAGATGCAGATACAGCAAATGAGGGAAGACACTGTTCCATTACTCATTCCTGGAGACTACAATATTTATGGAACTGTAGACAAGCATAAGCTCTCTACATGTTCGCTGAAACAGGCATAGCTAGCAAAAGACATAAGGGTATTTCAGGCCAAAACGGAGCATTACGGCTCTGAGTGAATTTTAAAACTCATGTTAAAAGGATACCTTCTTTTACTCTTTCTGAAATGTGGTACTGCTGGTTTATTTAATCCCCCTGACTTTTAATTTCTTATGATATTTCTCCATCATGCCCTCAAATAATATGTCAAGATGGGGGAAAAGGTTGTATATACACCAGCGCTGTAATATGCGTCAGCAATGTAGTATATAAATTACTTTATTCACTGGCGTTTTATAATTTAGCAAATAAAAGGCTAACCAGCAGGAAGATTTGTACACCCAATATTTTCCAGAGGATTCTGGATTCATGCTTTGTGCTATAATTCTCAGTGTGGAGAAAGTTCTGGTTGGCAAGAAGATCAGTCCTGATGACAAATGTCACTGGGAGATGGACGGGAAAGGTGAAATAGAGCTTAATTTAGGGGGCTCTTAAAACTATTTCACACAACCTCGGAGACTGAGATCCAATCTCTTTTTAGTTTTTCTTTATCCTGAAGTCCAAACTGAAGGATGGACCCCAGCCAACATATAGTGAAATGGTCTCTGAGCCAGCCTTGACTCACATCCTCTCCTTCCAGTGACCTATGCCATTCATATGCATTCATCCAGGTATATACTGCTGCAGGTAGACCAGGTAGCTTCTCTTCTCTTGTCCTCAAACTGTCTCTCTTTCCCTCAGGGCTCATCAGTGTCACCTCAGGAAACCCTGCCTCACTAATCTGGATAGTGCTGCAGAGCTTGTTTCCCTGCAAAGCCTCTAATTTCCAGGAGGGAAGAAGACACAGATGCAAGATTTGGATCCTAACTAACATGGCATGGTAGCTACTCCCCTAGGCTTCCCCTTCATATTATATGAAATCAGAGAGCCTCGCAGAAGAGGTTGATAATATGGCATAACTCCACCTGGAGGAAGGCAGTGCTAGCTTGGAAAGTATTCACGCTGTGTCTCACACATGTTACGGTCAGGGACCAGGAATCAGATGCCTCATCAATGAGTGTCGGTGAGGACTTCCAACCTGAAAGGAAAGTTGGACAATAGTTATTGAAGAAAACTGTGCATCAATGTACCATACCAACTCCTAGGTTAACGGCCTCATTTTGAACTGGCCCTTAAATTGTTCTATTTTTCTACACCGCTTGGAATTCATTAATATGGATCACTTGTTGTTTAATCTTTTTTTATATAAAAAATAATAATCTGTCATACAGTTAAGGAGCGCTAAGGGCTGAGAAGCAATGGAAATTAAGACAGGCGACAGGCAATGCTCAAGGAATAATTCCACATTCACACCCTCCCCAACCTTGTGAAAAGGTCTTTTGTCTAAAAATACCATCTGCAGCCTGATTTTCAATTCTTAGCCAGTATCTTTAAGAGTTTCATTAGCTAGCTGCCAGTACTTACCCTACCCCCCTTGCCATTCCTGAAGACAGGCTTGCTCTTTAAAACAAAAACAAAAAAAACATGGTTGAACCCACCTGCCGTGGTTTTACAAGACTCTGATATTTCCCAGGAGTCTTTATTTCAGGAGTTTGAAGCTTCCTCTAAAAAAGAACTCGTGTTTACAGAACCTGAAAGCAGAACAGGAAAGAGCAGGCGATGTATAGCAAGTTCATTCAACCGTTGAGTGTCAGTAAAATACTGGCTTTTTTCCATTTGTTTGTACGCAAGAACCAATGTACCGCTCAACCTTCTCAGGCAGTGTCAGTATTATAGCATCTGCTGATGAATTTTTAGTTCAGAATATTTTGAATGAAAACACTTCTTTTTTTTCCAAACAAGCAATAAAATAAAATAAAATAAAATTCAGAGCTATTCTCTTAGACGTAGGGAGGTTGGAGAATTCCAACCAAAAAAAGGGGGGACGGGAAGGAAGCAGAAATTGCCGCAGTTCACAAGTACACCCGCGATCAGGAATGGAAATCAGTCAAGTGTATACTATCGGTATTCATTCACATTGTGCTGGTCCCAAGGGTTAATCGTGCAGTGAGGTCCGAGTCCAGTCCGAGGTCGAGGGTGCGGTATGGAGGCCGTCTGTCAAAGCTGAAGCGGGGTCCAAGACAGGGAGTCGGGTGAGGTCAGGAACTCTGGCAGAAGAGCAGGACAGAGTGCAGGCAGGAACAGGCTACCAACAATGTTGCTCCCACAACCTGGGACTGGGCTGGCTGGCTTTTATCTGTCCCGAGGCATAGGGCGGCCCTGGTCCACAGGTGACTTGCCTGTCCCAGCCTGGAGGCGAGCACTCCTCCTGCGAGAACTTAGTTCCCTCCGCCTCTCTGCCCTGAGCCTCTGCAGCTCAGGAGAGGCTGGAGGGTTACCAGACCCAGAGGCAACCTCAGCTTCCCCTGACGGGGCTGAGAGTGGAGCACCTGCAGGCAATGGGTCCTCCATCCCCTCAGGGGCCAGAGCAGACTCAGCTGGTGCCTGCACCTGAGGATCCATCACAGGTGAGGACCCTTCAGGCTCAAGCCCCAGCCCCGGCTCAGCTGGTTCTGGAGGCAGGGTCTCCTGTGCAGGCTGGGATTCCTCAGGTTCAGCCTCCGAGTCCGAATCCCAGGCCATCACACATTGTTTATTTTAAAGTCTACAAATGGCATGTAATTACACTTTCACATTGTTTTAGTGGGGGGTTTTTTACACGGAAATGAATGTAAGTTAGGTAAATAGTTACTTAAATACTTACTTTTTTAAGCAGAGGGTGGGTGACCATCTGTCATGGATGCTTTAGTTGAGATTCCTGCCTTGGGTCACTTCCAACTCCACAATTGTATGATTCTATGAAAACACTATAGATTCTATGAAAACACTATATCAGTATTTGGCTGATATAGCTTAACTCACAAACACAAAGACTCCCAGCTCCTGAAATCAAGCAAGCAAGCAAGCAAGCTGGGATTCTCAGGCTGCCAAGAGCCTACACCTGTTTAGTTTGATGCACAAGAGTTCATACTGTCCTTGTGATAATGGAGCTTATATGCACTGTGCACTTTTGGAGAAGGAGAGACCATCAATGTTTCCTA